CTAAGATCCTGATCCTGGCTTCCTGGAAATGATATGCACAGGACATCAGGTTCCATCAAACCACAGTGTAGTGATTGAACCTGCCTTTGACAGCGGCTCCTGAAAAAAGAGTAAGTGGTTGGACAGTGAGTCACTTTACTCTGCACATTGCTTGGAGCAATATATTGTAACAACCCAGTTGGTGGGGTTGGTGCTCTCTTCCAGTGTGGTGGTGTCTGTCAAGAACACAAAGCTCTTGAAAGTTTATTGTATAGTTTACTAATACTTGCCTGGGAATCCTCCCAGTGCTCATACCGTTCATCAATATCCTGAAGTTCAGTCAATTGCCCCAGCCCAACTTTGTTGCAAAAGATGCATTCTTGGGACCTGACCTCAACAAAGAGTTTCCTCTTTGCTGAAGAGACCTCAGCATCCTCCAGCCGGCGCTTGCTACAGGACCTGCGCAGTTGTGAGCTTACAAGCTGCCAATAGTGCAACTTGACCCACTGGCCTGGGTAGCCCATGGCAGCTTGAAGGAGTATGTTTTGAGGTCATGGTGATTGACACGGTTTGTTTGGGCCAAACATTCATCCTGGTTGAAAGCCTTGCAAGTGAGGCATTACCATATTCTGTGCGATCACACAAAGTTTCCTGGTTTCTCTAGTGTGTATCCTTTCTTCCTAACGGCGAGGGCGTCCAAGACGTGCCACAAACCTCATTTGAGGTAGAAGCCGTTCTGCTGGGCGGCATTTGCTAAGATCAAACGTCCAAAGCATCATATTCATGTGGCATTCTTTCAGAAAGCCAAGACAATGCTGGAAGCTCATCAGGCACTGCATCCTTCTGACAAATTTTCAGGAGGTGCTCTCGGTTGGAGCAGTTTCAAGCAAAACAGACGCCAGTTGCATGAGTTTGTTCACCCTGTCCAAGTCAAACTGTTTCAAAGGTCTTGGCACTCTAGGGATCTCGACCAAAGTGTTCATGAAGGCTGCTGGCCAGACCAGCACGGGCTCCTGCGAAAGCGTTTGGTGTGCTCAATGTCTTTGTTGATAGGAATTATTTTATAATCTTCTGCTGTTTGACCAGAATATTTTGAGCACATTGAATGCATGAGAAATAGTTTCACAGCAGCCACTGAGTCTCTCCTGTGATAGGCCATTGTCTGCAGCAAACCGTTTGATGCAGCAGAAGACATCACTGGTTGAAGATTCCCACAAATGAGCCCCAGGTCCACTGGCCACCGTAACCATATTGGGAGGTATATCTGGCCAGTGAAAGGAAGAGAAAGTGATATGACATCACACCAGAGAGACTAGTCAAGAGTTCACAGCATCTTGCCTCGACGTCGCATGAACAAAAAGCAATGGGCACCAGTGGAGTCATCCTTGATTCCACCAGAGTAGCTGATAGGCATTTGCTCAAACCTGAGTTTGCTGAGTGCTGGGGTCTAACGCAATAACATGTTTTCTACTTTTTGGGTGGTCTATGATTCATATTCCTTGCCACTGAAAGGCCATGACTTCCAATTACGGACTGTTGTGACTGTCTCTACATGTACTTCTGCAGTGCCAAGCCATTCTTTGAGGTGTAGTTTATGCATGAAGTAACGCACTTTCCTCAGCTATGTTGCAATAACTTGCTGGTGGCACCTAATTGCAGCTTGCAACACTTGAGCAAACCCATCATGATTAAAATGGTTGCCAAAATGCTGTACTATGTCTGCCTCATCTGCAAGCACATCTGTATATCTCATCGCACGGCTCAAAAGGCCATAGATTTGATCTTAGTTGTTATTATCATGATCTGATGATGGAACGTTTCAGCACAACAAAAACATTCACCTTTAAAACAGTCAGCTTTCATGCTAGCTGCCAAGAGTGGAATGAGTATGACCCACTCGACTCATTATAAGCCCTGTGAGTTGCAGTCCTTTCTGCACCAAAAGCCAGCTCATCAGCTTCATCACCGTCTGGTTCTTCGACTCGCGGACTGTATTGTCCACCTGATCTGGTATGTGAGTTGTTGCGCACAAACTTCCAATGAACACCAACACAAGCAGCAGAAGCAAAACCTTCACTGAGACATGCAATCAAGGGGCCCAAAGGAGTAACCTTTTTGGGTAGGGACGTCCCTTGGCGTCGCACACCTCTTTCATCTTATCCAAGGCTTTGGACAAACATTCTGCGATAAGCGAACCGTCTGCGCTCTGACGAACGTCTATAATGTACATGGCCAGGACTATTCCATGAAGCCAAACCCCTTGAAGCTTTGTACGGGGCCGCTCAAACTTTGCAATCTGCTTTGAAAGAACCTGGTGACGGACACGGGGGACAGCCCATTTCGGCTGGTCCATCCCATCCTTAGAAGTGGTCAGGTGATCGAACCGGTAAGGGTAGGACATTATTCAGCAACAATATGCAACAATGCTTTCAAGATTCAGTACAGCAGAAGAGGACCCCTTCGTCATCTTGCAAAGGATTGAGGCCCTGTCAGCACACATGGGAATCAGGGCAGGGTAGCTTGAGTTCTGGGTGGCAAAAACACCTTACTAACATCTTGCCTGAAGGTACATTTCCAGCTGCCTATCTGCAGCTACTGATTCCAGATGCTCCTTGTATTGTCGACTGACATGAAAGCGGTCCAAGGCATCCTTAGAAGAGAACACAGCCAATGCTCCTATTGAACCCTTAACCACTGAGTAAACTACCTCACAACAACACAAACTTCTTTATCTGAGGATCGCTGGAATCTTCAAATGCTGCTTTGTATGCTGTGCAATCATCACATGCAGGGAAGTTGGTGGGGGAGCAAAACCTGATGAGGTTTTTCCATTTCGAGTGGTACCTGCGTACAAAGTGTGAGTACCTGAGAAGCTGGCGATTGCAGGTGGGGTTCCACATACGGTGTGGTGTTCATGTTCGCACACAAATAGCAATCAGTGGAATCCCAATTGCGATACTGCTGACCCACATTGGACGTGCAGCATACGCAGGTTGCCTGGAGGCATATATCGTGTGGGCAGGCTGGAGGGGTCCATGCCCCAGTTGCAATCGATGATCCTCGGCAGGCGCTGGTTGATGAGAAGTGGGTGAACTGGTTTGCAAAACCTCTGAAGAAACTTACCATAGTTCATTTTCAATGGAACACTGAGGGCATCTCTGGGTGAAAAGCATCTTGCTGCCCATCACATGAAGCTTCAGTTCTGTGTTGGATTCAATGGCCTCACAAGGCAGACTTGCCTCAATATCTGAATCCTGATCTGGATCATCTCCTGAGACAGGAAAAGGCTGGACCATGGTTTGAACCATTCTTTCCAATCCTTTGGACACTGCATGCTTTTGAAGGTGCCAGCAAGACTCGTGTCTCAAAATCATCATCATGTTTTTGTCGTGTGAAAGACACTTTGAGAAGGGGTTTCTCATCGCTTGCCGATCGTGCTGCCCTGCGAAACCTGGCTGCCCAAAGTAAGTCTAACCCTGGAAAACCAATGTGTAAGAACTGCAGTTTGCAGATAGGAAACTGGGTGGGCAACATGCCACCATGCTGGACATACAGTTTCAAGAAAAACTGGTCGATGCGCATGTACTTGAGTGGCTTGCGTTTCTTTTCCTTTCAGATTGGGAGACAGGGCTGCAAAACAAAGTGACAAAGAGCATGCAAATCACTTTGAATCCCAATAATGTGCAAACAAAGTCTCTGCACCAAAACATCTATACCGAAGATCTAGTTTCCCTGACCCAGCGGATCGCAACCTCTGGGGTCTGATCCCAAGAAGTGACGCTAGGCATTTGCCAGAAATCCCTTTCCCACACAGCCGCCAAGACCTGTTGTTGCCCCGGATCGTCTTCAATCGGTCGTAGATCTTAGCCAAGCAACCAACACCCAAACATGTGTGACTTGGCAAAAACCAGCCACAATGATTCTGCATTGTCCCTGAAACAACTGAGCTTCAGTCATAGGCATCTTGAGCTGGCTTTTCCATGCTCCAGAATGCAGCGATGAATTTCATCAAGCCAGCTATTGCTTCAGCAAACTTTCTGAAACACTTCCCTCGATGACATGCGCAAGAAGATCTGCTCACGAGTCGCCTCACCCGATCGAAGGAACTGCCATTGTCTGACTGCCTGCAGTGGGTCTCCACATGGGTTGCCCTAAGCCACCTAAAACTTTTCCCAAAGAACCATTGTGGTCAAACACAAAGTCTACTTAAATATAGGTTGAGGTACTTTTGTCGAACCTCTGGGTTGGCATAAAGCTTCCTCTTGCTGCTGTCATAGTTAGGTCGCAAACGTGCAGTTGCAGGTGGCTGCTTGTAAGAACTGCTAGTTGCTTGTGCTCCTTTGAACTCCAAAAGGCTAGCCAAATCAAACTCCACTAGTGTCCCTGAACCTGCTGATGATGGAGGTGCTTCAGTCAAAGAAGCTATGAAGTCTTGGCGGGCTTTATGGACATGTTGTCCAACGTCAGAGCCCTCCCCACCATGGCTCAGGCTTGCAATGAACTTGCGGCGTTCAGCCATCCCTTTCTTTGATTTAGAAAGCGGCAGCAATTAGCATTCAAACCCCCAAAACAACCAGCAAACTCAGGAGTATCACACCATATCACACCACACCTCAACTATTGAATTCTTATTTTTTGGGAATCATATATAATGAAATAGAGATCGATTATAATGAAATTGACTTATATACAGTTATCGAGGTTCTGGTGCGCAAATAGGACGGTGCAGGTCTCGCATGAGACGACCAGATGGTCTGGTCGACAGGCACAGACAATCCGTACGTAGCCTCAGGCTCTAGATGGTAACATCAAACCCACCCAAGGCTCTTGGAATTGATGGTAACGCGTCCTCGAAGTTTCAAAGATCCTACAAACGGAAACCCAAAGTAGTATTTTCTTAGGAGGAGATACATGAAGTAGAAAGCTGGCATGCGGCATACTGTAACAAATGAGGGGCACATTCGTGAAGACCTACTATATATAGCATTCAAGTGTACATGTGTTGTTTTGATTTCCCACACCTCTTGCGCAAAGGACTTGATCTTGCGCCAGTCGCCCTGTGCCACCACGTCCTCGCAGATGAGAGTTTTTCACACCACCGGGGAAGGGCAGAATCCGACAAGCAAAAGAGCGTGAATCATGGTTGTGGCTCAAACAATCAAACTAAAACTGGCACCCGAATACACTTGCAGGTTTTAGACCATTTGGATGATTTGCAAAATCCTTGTGCTTTTGCCGCATCATGGATGGTGATGTTCGAGCACCATCAGGCTTTTGAGGGTGAAAATCAACAATGGAACCCAAGAATCCACAGGTTGGAACCGATTGGCACAAAATCCTGGATCCTCTGGCCAGTTTCTTTTTCTGACAGGGCCATTACATGCCATTCCTATAGACTACAGCCTTGATTCGCCAGCGCACAGTTGGCTGCTAAGCTGCTACTTCCTTTTACGTCCTTTCAACCGTGTGAATGGTACTTTCGTCATCCCTCAACACCTTCGAGAATGGACTTGGGCGATACAGAAGTTGGGTAGGCAAGCTGGGATAGGTCATGACTTTACCAAAAAAAATGTTCCTCTTTGATCACTCCGCCTAGTGCCTAGTGGTGATGGGACATCTTTTGCTGCGATGGGCGATTCTGAAGTCAAGCAGGAGCTGGAGATTCGAAGATTCAGCTTTTGCATGCTTTTACTCTGGCGAGGAAGAAGTAGGCTTGGAAAACATGCGTGTCCATGTTCCACATCAAGTCGATGTTAAAAGTTGAACATCCACCCAATGTTTTGAGAGAACCATTGTGAATCACGGGAATGCAGAATCTCAAATAACTAAACAACACCCCAAAGTAACACCCCAAGCAACACACAGCCTTCACGCAGGAGAACTGGCCTGCGGAAGCATCCAGCTGCCTCCGCAGCAAGCCACTTGTGGAAGGCTTAGGTACTTCCTGAGCAGGGGTAGGCTTCATGCAGGCAGGCAAGGATAAGGGTTTCAGTGCGAGAGAGTTGGTGGGGATCAAGAAACACAAGGGAGGGGTGATTATGAACTCTTCCCATCCATTCTAAATGAAGATTGCTTCAAAAGGTGACGAGTAATTATCCCTCAGAATTTGCGCGGAATCCTTTCGCGACCGTCCGCTTTGCATGTCAAGTCGCTCTAGGTTGCTCTCGTTCACACCTCCTGGACAAATTGCTGCAAAGCGGAGTGAGATCCAAGTGGGAGGCGGGCTGCCTTTGCATCTGCCCCTTCCAGGCATGGGTTTTCGGGTGATTCTGCCCGACACCTGAAAAACATTGCCCAGGGTCCAGGGTATCACCTTCTTTTCCGTGTCCATATAAGTGCCCATTCATGGCGATTTATGTGGGAAAAACAACTGCTGTGATTGTTTTGAACGGAACAGCCCCAGGCAATGAGTTAAAGCATCGTCATGGAAAAACCTCCTCATCCTGCAACATGCTGAAATTGAACCTCTGCCAGGAAAAGACCAGCCACAACTGAACCACCAGTGGCATCCAGTGGCCATCTATAGCACAGGAACACATGCTCTCTCCGAACGGGGTTTCCCTGGGGCGAAGGGACCTGGACTCAGCGGGTCTCCGAGGAACACGGACTCGCTGCGGACACGGACTCCGTGTGTCAAAAGATAGATAGCACCCAGTTGCACCCAGTTCTCCAATCGAACATCGTGGTGCCTCACCATCGGTCGCACGAACGTTGGGGTGGATGGCACTGGTCGGATCGACGGTGCAGGATCGTCGCGCCTGTGGGCATGAAGGTGAGCTTGGAATATGGCCCGCCAATGGCTTTCAGCGCGGCCACCCCACCATTTGCCTGGCTGGAAAGAAGAACACTCTGGACTTAGTGGGCCGACCTCTGTTCTGACTCAAATGTCGTTTTTTTCGCATCAAAGCACAACAAATCACCAACTGAAAGAACTGGTCAATGCTTGGCGGGATAGCTTGCTGGTTGCGCCGAAATCGGTGATTGGTCACTTCTATGTCCGAAGAGTCAAACTCTTTGTTTCTCGCCACGCCTGACACATCGCCGAGTCACTTTGGACATCGGCGACATCACCGAGTCGCGGCGTGTGATAAAATTTGCAAAGAGTCACAACCAATTGGTTGCGACAGCCAGCAATGACATGTTTGGCGAACAGTGGGGGGGGAAGGACCGACCGAGGCATGTTGGTCGTACTCTGTTGTGCAAAGTAGGTAAAAAAATCTGGCAAGACAAGGACATTCCTTTCCTGGAACCTAATGCGACCTGTTGTGGTTGTTTGGGTCGGCAGCCAACATTGAATATATTTGGTCCTGTCTAGGGCTAAGTTCCAAGAACATGTTCATTTCATGTTCCCATCTCTATTTCTCTCGGCAGGCAATCCTTCATGAAGACAGTGGATGATGAGGGCGCTCCTAATACGAACGACACGTTGACTCATTAAAACCCTCACTCAGCAAATCACCCCCAAACAAACTGGGACACTAAATGAACATTGATCCAACCAAGAGAGGTTAAGTGACCTTATAGGACATTACTGGGGTACCTATGGGATAGGCTGTAGGGTCCTTCGACCTCTGTTGGAATATTTGATCCCTGTTGGTTCTTTTCGACCGCGGGACCAACCATCGAATGGGTCCTTCCAACCGTCCACGGCGGGTTTCCACCCGTCAACCTTCGCTTCCACGGCGGCTTTCGGGCGGTGCCTCGGCCGGGAAGAACTTCAGCACCTCCAAACCCAGGCGCATCGCCGTTTCCACCTGACCGTTTCAGCGTGGAAACGACAGGCCTAGTGCAGTGCGGCCTGGCCTAGCAGTGCGGCCTGGCCTGGTGCAGTGCCTGCCTGGGGACCTAGTGCTGGCTGAAAGGGGTGTGAAGAGTTTTCACCAAAGTGACTGGAGGTGCCCTTGGCACCCGAAGTGGCTGAGTTCTGTTTCACGTGATGTGGACCACATCCAAACTACATGCAGGCAGCTTCGCCTGCTAAGCATTCAATCAGCAGCAGCAGCACAGCCCCAAGTTTCAACAAAGAGTCCAAGTCAGGATCAAACACAACTCATGGCGGTTCAAACTAACGACCCGCTCGTCGACCTGCTGCAGCTCCACCAGTCAGACTCCACCCCCGGGCGGTCAGACTCCACGCCTCGGTGGGGGTCGCGACCCCAGGGATCACGACGACGCCATGGGCGTGGCACCAGTGCACCACCTGCGCCATCGGCGCTGAAGATGGCGTTAAGAGGACGCGACTCGAACGGAGCTACGAACGGAGAGGCATCGCGTCTCGAACGGAGCGATAGGAAGCGACGAACGGGGGCTCCTGGCCTTACTACGAACAGAGCGATAGGACGCTACCATAGGAATGGCGCCAGCGAGTCGCAGCCCGTGTTTCCCGCACGGCCGTGCGGGCAAAAAGCTCCACTCGTAGCGTCCTTGTTCCTAGTAGTAAGGCCAGGAGCCCCTAATAGCTTCCTTGCTCCGTTCGTAGCGCCCTTTGCTCCTAGTAGCGTCCTAGTAGGGTCTGATAGGTTGTGTTGGTGAAATCTAACTGGACTATCCATCCAACCATCTGGGTGTCCTGGCTGGAGATTCCAACGTAGTGAAGGGTCATCCATTGGTAATGGTATATATTTTTACTACAGGAACACATGGAAGGCTGATGGATATAATCCAATACGTCAGTTGGGTTCACTAGGACCTCCTCTTGGCCACAACAAGTTGTCGCACAACGGTCCTGTATCCAGGTTGTTAGCTCGGAACGGCTTCATGGTCTTTGGGGGGGCCAAATCCGGTCTTGGAGATGCGCCCTAACAAAAGAAAGGCCAAAGGTGTATCGAAGGTGTATATCAATGTCTACCCACGCATGCCGGTGAAAGGTGGGGTGTATCCGGTGCCAACACAATCCAGTAGAGGAGTGTCTGCTGCACAGCACGCTCAAAAGAAAAATGTATTGAACAAAAAACACATTAACCAGCTTCTTCAAAGTGACCTTCTTGGAGTCCCCAAGTGACCTGTTACAGGCCTAAGTGACCTCAAACCAGGTTATCAAAAGGTCACTTTGAAGAACCAGGAAACAGCAATATATATATAATAATCACCCTGACACCTGACATGGATGGGAGCTCCATTGTAGTTTATGGTGCATCCTTAGTCCGCTGCTTACATGAAATGAAAGCCGAACTTCACTCCAAGTCAGGTTCACATGACTTATATACTAGGGAAACCTTTGGTGTCCAAAAAACAAGAACAAAAACAAGAACCGCAAGAACTACAAGTACAACAAGAACCGCAGGAACAACAAGAACCGCAGGACCAACAACAAGAATAACAACACTGCGGCCGTCCATTTACCGGTGTGAACATCGCGATCAGTCGAACAGCAGGGAACCCTAGAACCATCGTTCAGTCTTTCCACGTCTCTTCCGTGAAACGCACTTGGATACAATGCCTACCGGAGTCACCGGTAAGGAACTGAAAGACATTATGTCCACCTAATCTCGATCAGAGCTCGAGTGGAACATCTTCCCAAACCCAGACCCATGTCAATCCACGCATGGAATACATTCCTACATTGACCCCAGGTCAACTACCCAATGTAGGTAGTATAGGCCATACATGGATGGTATAGAAAACCTTGGTGAGTCCTTTTCGGACTGGTGGACTGGCATCACGAAATATTGGGGCCCAAGTCAGTACGCCTTTGAAAAGCAAGGCTCAAAACTTGGACACCAGGTGCAAACCCAAATCAGGGAGACTGGATAACACATGGGTTTGGTTTGGGTCCCTGCCAGTTTCGCATAGTCTCACGTTAAGTCCCACATTGAGTCCCATAGATAAAACCTCCGTTTAACGCGTGGGGGATCCCTCACAGGTCTCGCATCTCTCGCAGGTCTCTCGCAGGTCTCATAGATGTCCCGTCTCAACCGCCTCACCTCTGGGTTCAAGCCAGGAGACACGATGAAGCGTGCACCCGCCTGAACGGCCTGAGGTCTTAGGTCTTTTTGACTTTTCACCGTTGGAAAAAAGGAGACTCTGAAGCAGCAGAAAGTTCAGAGTAGGTTCGATGGCACTGGCACCGTACCGCTGTCTTAAACAAATGGGGTTCCATCATGTTCCACCTCAGATACCGAACTTGGGGTGCCTTGTGCGGTCTACTCTGGAACCACTCTATTTTCACTCCTTAGAGACAGGTCGGACGTGAGGTCCCGGCAGCTAGCAGCTAGGTCAGACGTGAGGTCGGCTCTGAGAGGTCAACAACACCCACCTGGTTCTTCAAAGTGACCGACCTTGATGACCTGGTTTGAGGTCACTTAGGCCAGTAACAGGTCACTTATGGTCACTTGGGGACTCCAAGAAGGTCACGTACTGAAGAAGCTGGCATATATATATATATATATAGTACCCATGTATTGATATCTGTAGACCAAGCATTAAATTACATGCTGCATGTTGTATGTCCCTTCCCTGTCCTACATTGATCCTGAAACATGTTAAGATATGTTAAGATCATCAATTGGACATCATGACTTCTGAAACCAAAACTGGGGGGAACAAACAAATACGATGTTGCCAGATTTGTGTTGGCCAAACCTCTAAAATTCTAGTTATGAAGATTGTCAACGGCCCATTACTGAGGGCCCACGAAGAACATACTGCGATTGATGTTCTGAAGCAAAGGAACAAACCTGTTTCTGCAGAGTTCGGCCAAGGCGCGCGCTCGGCTTGTTGCGGCGTTAGGATCGTCCCCGCACCCACCAGCGCTCGTGGCTCTGCCTCACCAACGGCGGGAGTGTTTGACGCGAATGGCCAAAACGGTTGTTGTTGCTGTTGTTGTTGTTGTTGTTGTTGTTGGTGTTGGTGTTGTTGTTGAGTGCATGTTTTGCGACCCCTTTTTCAGAGGCCTGTTAGGGACCTCAAATCCTGGGATTTCGAAGGGTTATACAATGTTCTATACAAGCCCAAATCGCCGCCGTTTCCGGAAGTTTCGAGGCGAAAGAGTGTCCGACTTCGATCGTTTCAAGGAGCAGGACCAGTTCCGAACAGGGCTCGACGGTGCATGTTCCCGTGAAGTTCTGATGCCTTCTAGCAACCTCCAAAGGAGCACAATTAGAGACCAAGGGATTCAACTTGAAGCGTCACAAGTACCTTCTGAGAAGGTATATGTGGATCTCTCGGGAGAATATCCAGCAATCGAGTGTTTCTCATCCGAGAATTCTCCAGACATTCACTCACCCCACTCAATCGATGTCAAGATATGTCAGGCGCCTCCACCATGCGTCTTACTGCCTCCTCCGCGCAAGCGGTGCGGAAAACCACCTGCAGTGTCGTTGTTCGATCCACAAAAGACTCATCACAATGAGACCATAGAATAATCATAATCATTAATTAATATGCTCCACTTCTGCCAATCATGGCCAAAAATGTGACCCAAAGGAAGTGCATGGGTGCTAGAAAAAAGGAAGCAGCATGTCCAAGACGGACATGAGTCCGTCGTCGATCCACCGGAGTCATACCCACACATGGGAGTTCTTCCGAAATGCAGAAGTGCAGTTGCCCCGAGCCCCGAGCCATCTGCGTGGGGGGTCCAACAGTCCAACCGACGAGTCGAGAGAGAAGCGGCACAGTGGAGAACTGAACCGAACCATGGGGCCTCCGCCCATGGTTACACATCGGCACTATACCGGTGGCTCAGCACATAGGCTCAGTGAATTATTTGGAATTAAGAATAGATGGACTAATATTCTAAGTGCTAGGCCACTACTATATAATATCTAAATTCTCACCTGTAGTCGCATGGTTTACTAGTGTTTTGCCTTTTGTTTGTTTACAGTAACATACAGTAGGTGTTGGTGCAGTGATGACTCCATCAATACCGCGGCAAGTATCTGCCAAGTGCGGCATGGATCGAAAATCCAAAGTGTGATGTGTTGCTCTTACCTTCATAAAGGGCCGCGTCCATGATTCTATACATGCCAAATCAATCCAAATCAGAACGTATGGATATCCTGGATATCTCCTTAGCTGTCCTGGTTTACATAATATGGTTATAGTTTTATGTGCACTGTCCTGGTTTACATAATAAGGTTTACAATATGTAGGTCTATGTGCAGTCTTCAGCTCAAGTTGTTGAGTCAAATGGTTCTGCACCTGACCCACTGAGCATTGTGGACATTGTAGACATTGTGGAAGACACCTCAACACTGGTGAATGTACGTACCAGGTGTCTTGCTTCAACCATGACCAACCCAACCATCTTAGCTTTTCTCATGAATTCCCTGACGGAAATCACTGGCCTCAACACAAGTGAGGCCACCTTCCACCAGCGCTTGCACCATGGCAGCCGCTTGCGAGGCGTCCTAACAACGAGAGAAGAAAACTCCGGAAGCAGACTCCGAAGTCAGCCGTTTGAGGCAAAGGAACAAAAACACGTGACCTCCTATTGACAAACAAAATGGAAATGCGCAAAAGGACCTCTACAATGACTCTACAAGACCAGTTTCCCTTTACGACCAAACCATGTTCGCAGTTCGCAAATGTTTGCAGTATGTTCGCAGTGGTGAGTGAGTTAAAAATACTATTCTCCAAAATACATCAAAATACTGCATATCAAAATACCGGTGATCCCAACTCATACCAAGTAACCACAGTCCTACGAACTCTGCGTCAAACAAACAAACAAACATGAACCACTTGGACATGGAATTCACCAGCTGGAAAATGCTAAGCCCTCCGGATTGAGGAACTTTGGAACGCTCCAAGGCTCGCGCAGCGAAGTCAGGAAGTCGTGAAGTCGTGTTTCGTGTTTGGTCAGAAGAAACCTGCGATTTCAGGTCTAGAGGGCCTGAAAAAACCATGGACACATGTGAAGAACACTGAAGAAACCATGGTCACCGGTGATCGCACCCGGAGCCCTCAGAGCGCTCCTTGAATTGGTCGTCGAGCGACGCTTCATGTGTCCGGTGGACCTCTCCCTGGTTGACCCGGTGAGGTATGGATCATGATGGATCACATGATCCATTCGTTTCCACCAAACCGAATTGAACCCCAAATGGATAGAACAGTAGATCTTCACTCAAAATGTCGACACCGTGCCAACCGGTCATGGAGTCATGCTTCTATTTGGGGACCATGCCACCAAACTGTCCTTCTGCCCGTCGCCCTGAGCCATGCTTGTTCAGGGGCTGCTCCGTGTGATCTTTTAGAGCGGTTGCAGCACAGTCAGGAAAACAAGCGTTGATGACTGATGACACCAAATTCGGAGACTGTCATCGCTCCTATGATGAGGAATCATGATTTTCACCTCTCAATCCAACAACCGCAAACCCTGAAAGAGCTTTTAACCTCCCCTTCTCGTCTTTGGGTGACTCATGATTTCTCCACCCGTCTCAACCGCAGAAGGCGCTCCTGCACGGTCACCACTGGCACCACCAAGGACTGACGTAGTCTGTTCATCACCTCGGTTTTCCCCCCAAACTCCTCTCTGGACCGCCTTGAGGAGCAATTGTTTTTGTTCCTCGAATCTGCTGCGCGGGCTCTGCCCACAAACGGAAGCTTCAACAAATAAATGTGATGTTTTCTGATTCCGACTCATGGATCGGAATAGATGGCTCATGGATCTTCATCAACCCTCCCTTTCCCCAAACGAAACACGTTGATCCCATGTTGATCCCTTTTGTCTGTCTTGGCCTCTGAATCACATCTACGTTCTCGCTTGCTGTGCTGCAATGCATCCAAGATCCTTTTTGGTACATATATGATATATGTTCTTAATCTGAAAAGTAGGGAACGAACACGCCTGGTTTTCCCAAGTAGCAGCTTCAAGCTTTTCCGAAGCAGTATATACTGTAAGAGCCAATCAGGACACTCCTGTGGACCCGATTCTTAAGTATTCTTAAGACCTTTGAACCCCGCCGCTTGGCTATAGACACTAAAGCATCACTCAAGCAGTATCGCGTCACCGTGTCCAACATGAGTGGATTCTATGCGCAAAAGGAGGCAAAAGGAAAACATACGGTCAAAAGCGGAAGACCCTAAGCAAAGCTGCTTGTTGCGGGAATCCCAGATGTCTCCAAAGGCCTGTCATTGATTGGTCACCACCAGTCCCTTGGCAGCAAAGATAAGACAGGTAAGCATCTCACCAGCAGCTTGAGAACATACAAGACCACTGTGGCTGCTTTGCAAACAGTACTGACTGTCGAAGCATGCTGGTGAAGTCTTGAATGAAAGGGCTAACGCTTTTTTCCCCCGGACTTGGGTCGCAGCCAAGGGCCTCCTCCAAGCAGCACAAAGCGGGATCCGACCAAAAGGAAACACCAGGAGCCCGCGTTGTGAGCCCGAGTCACACTGGGGTCCACTGGCTTCTTCGTTGGTTTCTTCGTTTGCCAAAGCACCAGACCGACGCCTCGCGCAGCGACCCAACATGACCCCGGCCTCAACGACCCAAAACAGTCGGTGGCGGGTTCCCAGGCTGGGAAGGATACGGATGGATACGGCGGTTCCGGAGAAGGGTCACTGGGCGGCCACTCGGGTGGAAGACGAAGCTCTCTGTGGGCCATGGGTGTCGAGTGGTTGCAGGGAGGAGCTTTGGATCTATCTCACTGGGGGTCTGGAACTGTTCGAACAACGCACCAAGCGGATGATGATGACCGAATGGAGCCAGCGTTCTTCGTTCTTCTATGTTATTATCCTTGCCTTCCAAGACCATTCAAAAGTTGAATGGGTTCAATAAGAATCAGTGAGAAATACCTTGTCATGATGATCATGATGATCGCTTTTTGTCCACCCCATTCAAACTGAGTCGGCCTGCCAGTGCACCAGCGGCAGCACCCAGTGCTACAGCAGCAGGGAAAGACTTGTCCATGGCAGCGAGCGCAGCGAGCGCAGTGCAGTTGCCGGGAGTGGACGTTGGGTAGTCTGAAGACCTAACAACCCATGACTCACTTGCGAATCCTGGAGATGGTGAATTTCTTGGCTTCTTATCCTATGCCACAGCCAAGGGAACAACTGTACAACAAAAACATGTCCATGATTCTATATAGATGCGGTTTGTGCACGTGGTTGACGAGGAGTGTCCTGCACAAGGTGGGCTGATCCTTTTTCTCCTGCGGTTTCTGCGGATTTGTGAACATCTGTAGTCGCGTCATCTGGAGCTTGGACACGCCACAAAGAAACTCCTATGACGGGCATAGGTCAAATGAGCGTGTGTCAAAAAAACCCAGTGAATGTGCCAACAGTCTCGTGGTCAAACAATGTCAGAACTATCCGAAAACATGTCGAAGGCAACTTGGGAAGGGGCAGTCAAAGGCTGAAAGAGGGATCCTCAACTATGATGTGACTATACGTGGCTTGATTATCACAGGAATAGTTTGAGATCCATATCATATCGTGTTCTCCTCCAGCCCCCCCGGTGTCTATTCGTCTCTCGGGTGCAGGGCGAAGAAACCTCCTCCGATCCAAAGACAAGGCACCTTGCCAGAGATTTGGGCATGAAGAGTCTCGAAGTCCTGCATCCGCGGATGTGTGGCGGATTGGGATTCCAAGGCGGACGGTGGTATATCGAGGCATGCAGAGGGCCTCGATAAGGGGGTGTTCTTTTGCCTTCAAAAGATCCAACCACCTGGCGGGGCAAAAAGGATGCGAAGAGCATTGAAAAAAACATGGGAGTGTATACCCACCCAATCCACCCCACCCCATCTTGTGACCCACCCAATCCTAAGAATCATTGGACCCTCCTATGGAGGGTTTGGACCCTGAGGAAAGCAGGGGGGTTTGGACATTCAAAACCTTCACCTTTGAGATTCTTAGGGCATGTGACTTAAAACAACAAGCTGGATCACCAGCGCCGGTAGGTCGGGATGGTATGCGAATGCGCCAGTCTACCACGGTGGGCCGACCGACGTACCGAGTTGGTACGTCGATGGCTAGGCTTCAGAGTCGACCACTAACGTGAATGTTCAGAGAACCCGGGAAGAGACCCACATGGAACCTGACAGAAACAAAAACCAGACTGGAAGACGATTTTTCCTCTACTACCATACCTACCCGACGTGGTGAACTCAGGTTCCATGTGGGTCTCGGATCCAGTGTCAACGTTGAAGACCGGCTTCGGCTTCATGGCGGTCTCATCCTTCGAGGAGTCCGCCCGTTTTGACCGTTCCAAGAAACCGTTCCACCCAATCCCAGACACGACCTGCCAGTCCGGACTGGAGAAACGGCTGGGGGTCAATTGATCGGCATATATGGCAGTCCCATGGATTGTCTGGGAATGTAATCAATTCGAAGGCCGTGAGGGCCGTATCTCAGCCGCACCTGCCAAGTCTTGCATGTTTACAATGTAGTCCGCTGTTCATTCCCCGAAGTGTCATCTCAGCCGTTGCCACAATACCACGCAGCAAAAACACCAAAACCTGAAAGGATGTGAAACTTGGATGTGCTGCCAGGAACCTGGTAAAAACCTAAAAACATGTTCCCCATTTTAGAGGACAAGTTCGCCTGAACATAAAGCAAAACCAATGGATACCTCACTGGCTGATTCCCGGTTCCGCGAAGCCTCGAAGGTATGTCGAGACAGGTTCGTGAGGCCAAAGGCTGTCACCTGGACGCTTGTGGGCGCTGCTAGCGGGTGGTGAACGTGGGAGAGGGGGCGCTTTGGTGAGCTTATTGGAATAAGGGGTGACTGTAGGAACATCTGGAATAGCTAACATAGATCCTTCGGGGTTTCTGCCTGTTTGCATGTCGGGCTGATAACTTGAGGCCAAAGTCCGGCAGAAAACAACACTCGGGCAAGAAACCGGCATCACATGATGTTTCAGGAACATGACATGGGCAGAAAAACCCACGAAACAGGCTGAAGGACCCACGCCACCAGGTAGAAGACGGACATTAAAAAACGCTGGCATTGACATTGCAAGGCATTTATGTAAACGAACAAAAGGTGCATCGGCACAACAACTGCCTGCGGGCAGAATTTGCGCAATCTTCAATCTCGCATTTCCAAGCAACAAGATTTCCAAGGGATCTTGCCGATTCGGTTTGCTTGGTTTCTCGATGCTTTCCCGGATTCCCACCAAAAAGGCTTCTGTATCAAAACCAGGAGAACCGGACCCAAAGCAGTAGATCTCACGTTCTGTTGAAAAACGAGTTTACAACAACCATTGGATCATTTGCAAAGACTGAGCCAAGAGTCTTGAGGGTGTACCTGTATCGTTTCAATTTTTATCATTATATCAATTTATTGTTTATATCCGACTACTACCACTAACGGTTGATGAGAGTGGTGACGATAACCTTTACCCAAACCGAGTGATATCGTCTTAACCGACTGCAGGACATGTCATGAGGCACGCTGGTCAAACGTGGCTGTGGAGAGAGGGATTCAATAGAGACATGGATGAAAGGATAATTGCCATGAAATAACATGGACACCGGGAGCGGGGTTTTGACATGTTTTCAGGTAATAACCCTATACATGTTGTATGGTTTCCATGTCAAAACAGTCAACACCCAACAATGATCACGACATGGATGAAAGGATTGTATAGGGTTATGTTTTGACTCACCAAAATAGAGGCTACAGTAGCGCGGGCAATCCTTCAACTTTTCTCCAGCAATCCATTTTCTACACGACTTGCAGGAAGTTGATGGATGCTGGTCAACAAGTTGTGACTTGTTGGGCACCATAATCTTGACTCGCTTATATCAAACGAAAGACCAATACGCCCGCCGCTGGCATATGTCCTGTGACTTCATTAGGGTGTCACGAAAACTGCTGAACAGCCTGAGGTTCTTCACGAACCGCGAACCGCCCAAGGACTTCAAGACCTACGGCATCCTCCGGCACCACCAACCGGACCTCGTACCTCCGCAGTTCGTTTCCCGAACCTGTGCCGTCGGCGGAAAGGACTCTGTGTGTGCCTGCGTCACGTAGACACTGTGCTTCTGGCCGAAGGTCCCACTCTCAACCTGTGTGGACCGACAAAATGACAACGACATTCGGGGCTGCAGTTTCAGTGGTCTGATACTCTCGAATTGTTGATTTCATGCAACTCAATGTCCCTTACATAGCGATTGGGAAGGATAGGGAAGGACCGGAACTGTCTGCCTATTTCTGCCGCATTGGCCGTCACAATCATCGTCCATTCAAGCATTCTGGCTTGGCTTCCCTGGATGGACAAGTAACTGGACAAGTATACACCAGCACCACCCAGGGGCCCAGGGGTGGTTTATAGACCTCCCACGACCAATATATCTTTCATGCAAAACAACCCCTGGGATGGCCCTGGCAGGCTTCTCAAATTTACCTCACTGTTATCCTACAGAAAGTGTAAGTCGATCAACATGAGAACCGATTTGGAGTGTGTCAGTCTGTCTCCCCAGAGCATGCATGTCAGGCAACATGGAAAAAAATACAACTTCCCAAAATGAGCTTCTGTTGAGCCCCTCAGTTCAAACATGTCGAAAAAAAACGACACCAATTACAGTATATGAAGCAGGATCCGGACTTTCCAGTGCCATCTATACGACTGAACCCTGAGCCGACTGCCCCTTCTCCCACAGCACATCCGAAGTCCTGCCTCGATCTTGGGAATCGTCACCCTCAGTTGGTCGGGGCGGGCCGCTCGGATGCCCCCGCTACGACGGCCACGAGACACGCAAGCGGTAAGGAATTACATTGAATCCCAAACACCTTGGCGAACTTGGCCGCCTATTATTGGATGATATTGGATGCAACCTAATTATATAATGCAACTGAACATTTTTTTGCAGATGAGTTACTGGTTGCCGAACCAATATTAGGATGTCGTTCTCCAAAGCAACCAAATCCGAGGACCTCCATGCCCTGGGCTCTGGAAAGGGCATCCAAACAAGACCCTGCGAGCCTCCGAATATATAAGTGCCCTGCACTGCGAGCACATTTTCGCGGCCTCCAAAAAACTGAACACGGTCCAACTTGGTGTTGGAAACCAAACACGAACAGACCGATTAAACATGATTGAAGTACACTCCTACTCACACGACATGGAAGTAGAAAGTTCACCCAATCTGTGGTCAATTCGCACCCCATGCGATCTTCCCGGTGGCCTGAAAATGGCCATGTCATGTCAACAATGATCGTTAGATGTCGTCGGACATATTCGGTGTCTTGCTGTCTTCCGTCTTTTTAGAACGTCCAGGCGAAAGCTGTCGGCGAAAGAAGAACATCACACCCCATCGCGCCATCGCTATGGAGGCCATCGCCATTAGGTTGGCCATCCATCGCTATGAAGAGGCCATGTTGGCCATCCATGGCTATTAGGTTGGCCAAGTCAAAGAAGAAAGTCCCCAACCTCCACGTGAGGTGCTCGTTCAGCCCGGTGGTGGCGCTCATTCAGCCCGGTGGCGTGATCGGCAGCTCGATTCCGATGGAGCTGGAGAGTGGCTCCCTGGCATAGATGGAGGGTGCGGCTGGGTGTGACTGCGAACCTCTGAGTGGGTTAGGGAGAAGGAGCAAGAACGCAGACTGCAAATCTGCCATGTCCGCTTGGCATGTCATGTGTTTTCTGCCACCCCAGCCATCTGATGCTGTTTCCCTCAAGTCCTGGTCTCAAAGAGTCACTATTTGAAGAATCGGCAGCTCGAGAGCCAAGCTGGTGTCCAGATTCCTTCAGATTCTTTCTGGTTGATCCAAGCAGATTCATCTGAGATGGAAGATGGAAGGCATCTGGTGTCCAAGACAATCCACGTTTTCCAAGTGGCTCAGACCAAAAAGGATCTGTCCCTCCATGCTTGACCATCCAGCTCTGCTTGGCGGTTTAAAGCTTAAATATGCTGAAGCATGATTGAATACTGGCCTCCAAAAGTCAGTATTGGGATGTATTGGGCAATTTTATCTCATTCCATTTGATAGGGACAGAATACACTCCCTGAATAACTTCCCATTGGTCAGGTGATGTCAGCATGGCCGGATCATCGGAGGACCCCGAAGATATATACCCGAAGAGCAAATGGTCGGTGGTGCCATCGACTACTGCCATCTACTGATGCTTTCAGGGAGTGATGCCATTGTTCAGTTTCTTCTCAACACATCCTGCGTGATCGCCCACCATCTCCTCAGCTGCCTGCCTTGAACTACGACCTCCGGTGTGAACGTGGAGGCGTGGTGGCGTGGAGGCGGGAACTTAGTGGAGCGACATGCTTGCTATCTTTTTGGGTGGTAAGTGTTCCATCACGGTCACGTGCATGACGTGCTACGTTCAACAGGACTCAACAAGCAATGACATGATATCACAAACATTATAATCTCATGTCAGGTCTATAGACATTGTAGGTGTTTGGTGTTCTTTTGGATTCGAGGTGTAGGCGTCATACACCCCAAAAGCTGGGAGAAAACTCTCTCTTAGGCGGGTCTGACTGACAAGGTATTTGACCTTTAAGAGATCTAAAGAGTGCGGGAGTCGAGGACCAGGAACTCCTGCAAGTCTCAGGCTGGGAGTCGAACCTTGGATTGCGAGCTGCTTCGCTCACGCCGAGCACTCACGTCCACACGATCGAGGTACAAACATGCGTCGTATACGATTGAAACTGCTGAAACTGGGCTCACCCCACCCCAATCACGGGCCCGATTCTCGGTTTCGCGTAGGTTTGAATTGGATTCCGATTGCGATTCATTCCATGGGAGTCTGCCCGAGCAATTTTTTGCGGGAATGGTCTAGTCGACCAATTCTGGTTCTTTCTGGCCTTGTTGGGACCGGAAACCTGATATTCACTGTATGGCGAGTGGATGCTGGGGAACAATTGATACCCAGCAAACTGAGCTGTTTCTATCTCTTTCCCAAAGAGCCTGCCATTTCCGTCTGTGGACCGAATAGCATTGTTCAGCTCTGCTTCTCGGATGACTGCGGGCCTCATGGATTCTTGAATGACTCACCCTTTCAGTTCCAACAATGTTTGGGGTGAACACTGCTGCAAGAGTCGGCCGACTCCGAACCCCCCCAAACCAAGGCCCAAAACAAGGAGTGGACCACCCATTGCGTTTCTATAATTAGTACGAAAGGGTCCCCCAACTCGGATCATCACGCAGCTGCTTCATCCCATCGCTCTGCGTTCACATCGCAGGTTTCACCCGCTGCTTCGCCCGCGAGAAAACGTGGTTCGTCGAGTCGAGTACCCGAAGGGCCATGACAGGCCATGACCCCTCCCGGCTGGAGAGGACTTCAGCCTGGAGGGGGCGCATTCTTAGTCTCAAGATCGATCGATCTATCGCATGGACACCCGTTTCAACGGTGGACACCCAAACACCCAGACGCTCCATGTATGCCATATATGCCTACATTGGGGTGGTTTGAGAGGTCAATGTAGGCATATATGGCATACATGGAGCGTCTGGGAAAGCTTCCACCGGAGCAAGCCGATCCACGGTCGATTCCGGACGCCTTTCATCCAGTCGCTCGCCCGGCGCATGCTGCGAGCCTCGGAGCCGCCGGCTCGCAGAAGCTGCAAGTCGATTGAAAAGGGACAGCGCAACAAAAAGAACAACACCTTCCTGGTTTTTCAAAGTGACCGACCTTGATAACCTGGTTGGTTCGGTCACAAACAGGCCTGTAACAGGTCACTTGGGGATTCCAAGAATGGTCACGTACTGAAGAAGTTGTTAACCAATGTGCGTTTGCATCCTTGTATTGAATGATATGCACTTTTTGTCAGGAGAAAAAAACAAAAGAACGAGCCACTTTCTGGCTGTGGGGAGACTGGCACCATGATACCGACCCGTTGATCTACGGTCCTGGGGTCATGCTGGGCTAGGCCTTCTAGGGCTAGGGCGGTTGAACAACCCATCCCCACATGTGGCACCGAAATGGCAATTGTAGCAGTTTGGGAGGAGATGTCTCGAGCTAATCCCCATGTATAGCATCCTCTTGCCCACCCCAAGGGGTGCTATCTGGGGAGTCGATGTAGGTATATATATATATATTGGCAGTCCCATGGAGTAGCTGGGAATGGTGTTTCATCCTATTTTGAATCCCTTGACCTCGGTTCGGGGCTACCAGTCCCATCTACACCCAGGGGTCGAAGGAATTCGATCGGCATGAGTCCAAAAGTATCCGAATTGAGCTGGATGGTCGCGAAGTACATCTCAGATCGGTCGCGCAACACCCAGTCTGTTGGCATACGGTGTGTTTTCTTGCATAGAAACTGGCAGAAGCAAAGGAAAAGCATTATCCAAGCTAGCTCTAAGCAGCTTCTGTCTAGCAACGGATTCATGCTCTGCCGTTGTGCATGTTGATCAGTCTCTTGTAACTGCTGTGTTGAAGACGTTCGAAGCGTCATTTACGTCGTTCAAAGCTCAAACATCTCGCTCAGGCAAGCTAAAACGCTCATGAGTGATGGAGGCTAGAGACCTCCGGGGGATGGTCAGGGTCAGCTTCCTCTTTCCATTCTGAACCAACTGGGCCAAACCATAGATCTTGCCCTAAGAATGGAGGACCAGGTTTAGAGGGTCCAAACCCCTGCTATGCAGGGTCCAAACCCTCCATAGGAGGGTCCAATGATTCTTAGGGCATGAAAGATGTTGTCAAAACCTCATGCGATTCCTTCTGGCTAAAAGAGGAATCGCTCACCCAAGAAAATGCCCTTGACTGGTGACTCTGCTGGCTTGACCAAGACGTGGAAGAGAGGGCAATCTCTGGTGTCCTCTCTTTCAACATGCTGTGTCAAGTGCAAACCAAAAGCTCCAAGCCGAGTCTGGACCAGGTCACGACAAGAAATCGGCTAGCTGCCTAGCTGAGCCTGATTGGGCTTGCACCTGAAGCTTACTCCAAGCTTTTTGGGGTAGGCTTCGAGTGTGTAAGTACTTTCTGATGAGGTAGTTGAAGCCCTAAAGGGTCCTAGAAGAATTGGTGAGTCTATTCGGCTGTGGCTCCGTCTCTTTCACCCTTGCTACCAGTTCTGACTGTCCATGCATGCGGCTGAAGTCTAGAATGAAAAGCCAATTTGACCGAAATGCTCGCAGCAACACGCAACACTCCGACCAAGTCTAAGAGCGGCCGTGAGACTGGCTTCTTCGCTGGTCTCTTCGTTTGCCAAAGCACCAGACTGACGCCTCGACCACCGGAGATGGAACGCGCTGTACGCAGGTGGCCAGGCTAGGAAGGAGACGGAAAGACGGCGGTTCCAGTGGAGAGTCGGGCCACAACCCGGGTGGAAGACGAAGCTCTCCGTGGGTCACGGGTGTCGACACTGTCGCAGGAGGAGGTTTGGATCTAACTCCCTAAGAATCATTGGACCCTCCGAACTGGCCCTAGGGATCCAAGTACCTTCTCAGGTACGGTCACTGTTATCTAGGTGCCAGGAGGGTCCAGTCGTACCGAACCTGAGGTTCGGTACGACTGGATCCGTAGGGCCTTAGGTGGAGGGGTACTTGGACCCTGCAGAACGCAGGGGGTTTCGAGCCTTAAGACCTTCACATATGAGGTCTTCGGGCTGACTGGCGGTCCGGAACGCTTCGAACAACCACTCTTCGCGGGAACGGTTCGAATGGGGCCACAGTGTGCCACCGTTCTTCTCGCCGAACAATGACCTTTGCAAACAAGTACGCTCAGTGGGGTGGGCAAGAGTTTACGTACTCAATGGTTAAAGAAAAAAACATTGGATAATATCATATTAATATTAATATATAATATATGACCAGGATGACTGGGATCGCTAAAAAAACACCTTATCATGATCAACATCATCACCGGTTCTGAAATGTTCTGAACCCCAGTCAAGCCAAGCTGTTTGGGCGAGCACCAAAGCCTGCCTGCCAGTGCACCAGCGGCAGCACCCAGTACTACAGCAGGGATCGTCTTGTCCATGGCGCGGCGAACGCATGCGAACGCAGCCACGACTAAGGAAGCAATTCCTGGAGCTTGGTTAATTCATTGGAATTGTTTGCTTCTGATTCTGTTTATGCCACAGCCAAAGGAAACGACAACAAAAAGGTCCATGACTATAGATTCATGTGGTTTGTGCGCTTGCTTGACGTGGAGTGTCTTGCACAAGGTGGGATCCTTGTACTCTTGCGGTTTCTGCGGATGTGTGAACACTTGCATTCACCGGGAGAGAGCTTGGCCGCAACGAAACTGACGGATCACTGGTCCAGTCCAAAACGGTCTCGGAGTCTCCCAACCGTCCCGTGAACCGTCCCGTGGTCATCCTGGGAAAGGCTTGTCAGAGGCTGAAAGAGAGGTTTTTAACACTCAAAACAAAGCCTGATTGGGCTTGCACCTGAAGCTTACTCCAAGGATTTTGGGGTAGGAGACCCAAGGACCAAGGACACCCAAATACCTTAGCTAGTGGTGGCTGCGATACAACATGAATATAGAATTTAAATATATTATAAAATGATTGAATCTTAACGGGATACAGGTCCACCATTGTTCCTCTTTTTGTGACTGCACATGCTGTGCACATGCTGCCTTCACATTTTAGTGAAGGGAGCACGCGTGACACACGACTGTCCTTCAGATCTCCTTCGAGATCATGGACAAAGGGATTCTGGTCCTAACACAACCGTGCTGGAGGGGTCCTGGAGTCCTGGAGCTTGCAACTGGCTGCAGATTGTGTCTACAATTTTCCGACAATGACATACAAATCCCAATTATGTAGCACTTTCTGAGGTGACAGAATTCGGACATCCCGTGGACATCTAGGCAAGCTTAGGCATATTTATAGGTGATGCTCACCCTGCAAACTCCAAATGCTCCATCTGCCCCAGCCCAGCCATTTGGGCGCCGATGCTTCAGCTATTTCCGCTCCAGCGCTTTTTGCCGGATAATCTCTTCAGCCCCCTGGCACGGACGAAACCGCGGCAAAGCACCGGTTGTTCCAACGATGAGTCCGGCTGCGTAGGTTTTCTGCGTGAACGATGAGTTCTGCTGTGTAGGCAAACCATGGTGGGGTGGTTCGTGGGGTCCATGTAGGCAAATCTTCCAGATACGGGCTGTCAGGGGTATACCCCTGAAACAAGGTTCACGCGAGTCACATGTTGCTAAAGAGCCTTGGTGGTTTGTATGATGTTCTTTCTTGTGTCTGCCACCAGTTTTCGGAGAAGAGTTTCAAGGACATAAGGACATAAACATCGCAGAACCCGTGCAGCACAGGGAACCGGCGGATCTCGTAGTATCTCACAGATCCTTGCAGAAAGCGGTTTTTTTTTTGAGCAGATCTTCGCGGCTTTGAAGTGACGACTTGGACGATGACCGATGACAGCTGACGTGGCCGCAATGCCCGAAACATTCCCCTCTCCACCACCCCAATCACATGGTCGGCCACGATGACCTCCACAAAACGATGACGACTTCGACCAAATGACAACTGCGAAACTGAAAGAGAGAAAACGAGTCTTCGTGAACTAATTCGAGGCCAACGTCTTCGACAACGTCAGGCACGTTATCAACGTGCCTCCTGAAACAATCATGGAAGCGGAAAACCACCGGTTTGTAGTACGTAGAAGTAGAGGAACACATTCTTCCAATTAAGAGGTCATATTCCACTTCCATTTTTGTTATTCCACTTCCATTTTTGTTGGAGGGAGGGAATCAGCAAATCTTCTTTTCAGCTCTTGATCATCCGCACGCAATATCCCTGGACTGGCTCTGTTGATTACACTTACGCCACCTGTGTGGGTTCATGAAATGAGCCTAAATTTCACTGGTCTTCTCTTGTGGCCTTCTAGCCAAAAAGAGCTCTAGCCTGTGCCCGTTTCACATCAAGAGCCGCCCCGCCGCAAGGACTCAAAAAGGCAGAAGTGCTCCATCCATGTTTTGAGATCTTGAAATCCGGACGAAGCAGGAGGTGCACAGGACAACATTGCCCCATCCCATGGGATAGAGAACCCAGAGGCCCAGAGGTGTGTTGGTGGCCTTGGTCACGTCAGAGGTGCACAGCCCATGTTTCGGAGGCTGGTAGGGGCCCCAGCTCACCTCAACGGGCCGGTCCACGCGTCACCGCGATCACCGGTGGTTTCGGGGCGAGCATGGCATTGCGAGCGAGCATGGCAGATGTCCGACCAAACCAAAGCCATGTATGAACATTGGATCATGGGGAGAGATATTGGGGAGAGACCCATGCTCCACTGCGGTCCACGCGGAACGGCCTTTCAAATTCCTGGGATCCTTCTTTTGTGGGGGGGAAGATCCAGGGCCGGTGAGAACCACTTCATCACGATATATCAGATCGATCTCGTATCCAGGGGCCTATCTTCACTATAGTGCCAAATTGATCGTTCTATTTTGCTTTTAACGTGATGTGTTGACACATAGCTCTGGCACATAGATTCAGAAGCATGTAACAGATAGGAAGGCTTTCGCGATGCAAATGGCCTCCGATCTGTGGGCAAAGGCCACCTTCTTCATGAACCGGACCCAAACACTCCATGTATGGAATATATAACCCTATATACGTTACGTTACATTGGGGTTGTTCGGGCGTCACCGTATAGGCGCATATTCCATACATGCAATGTCTGGGAGTCTGGGAAATAGATGCAACGTGCAGGATCCCACGGATCGATTTAGACGTTGAAGGCATTATAGGCATCCTATGGCCAACCGACGTGCCCCCAATTGCTTCGCTGTTAAGACTCCGCTCCACACAGCACGTGCTGCCCACGTGCGAAACCCACCCACCCACGTCCACGTCGAGAGAGCGCGCGTCCGTCCGAACCAAGAGACAAAGGACTCCTCGTAGAGACCTGACATGGCTGGTGTTCTGATTTCAGAGGCTCGGCGAAGAAGGAGAGGCAGCACCCTTCGTTTCAGAGGATGTACTTGGATGGTGGTTTCAACAGAATCAACACATTGTATAAAGATTTCTGAAGGAACCTGTGGTTTACGATCCGCTGGATCAAGCACTGATAGTCCCACTTCCCATCGAGTCATTTGGAACATTACATGTCATGACGAAACTAACACATTGACCTTGAGGCATTGGGGGATGTTGGGTGCCGCTGCAAATGACACCTACCTTGCGGGGTAGGCTGATGCTGCACATCTGAAAGTCGTTACGCAAAATGCATTGCACATTCGTACATCATGCTTATTATACAGAATATTCGTCCTCGGCCTTCAGTGAGGACCTGACCGCAAGAACTCAGTCCGGGACCAATGCAAACATCTACCTTGTTGGAAGCTCTTCCAATACGCACAAGCAGTTTCTGAAAGCATGCAATGCACACAAGATCGCTTTCAAAGTCGCACAAGTTCATCAAGTCCAGCTTCATACACTTCAACGAATGAATCATTCCCACGCGGAGGATGCCGCGCCGCCATGCCTGTGTTTCTGCCGGGACGTCCACCACCCACACCTCAAAAAGAGATTCGCGTCAAAGCGCAAGATTTTAACCCCAAAACAGTAGGTAAAAAGAACACTGGAATGCCTTAACAGCTTCACGCAAAAACCTTCGTGGACGGGCCACCGAACAGGGACTAATTATCCGGACGCCCACTACTTAGGGATCTCCGGACACCCAAACAGGATGGTCCAATGGTCCAGGGTATATGAGGCTCAGGGAATATGCCATGTTGATTGTTTTCAGCTAGAACATGTTAGAACAACGAATGGGATCACAGTCTAAGTATTTCTAAGTGCTAGGCCATTACTATACCCCAACACGACCTATCTTGGACGCTTCGCCGGAGTGACTCCGGATCAGTTGAGGTGGTAAACCTCCCGGGTCAATGGGGTGGTATATATCATACCAGGACCCTCCAAGGGGTGTCATTTATAGCCCCTTAGCTGTTAAGGGGTGTCCATTAAGCATTTTTGGGGGGGTCCTGGTATATTCCAGTCCCAACGGCAAGGATGGTCTGTATCTATACAGAGTCTCCAAAGGATCTCTCCTGCCACTCAAAACAGAACACTCGAGCGTGAGGTGTAGGAATCTCCGAGTGCAAACCAACAAACCCAACCCAGCACCACACCCCTGACGATGTATTTCCATCCAAAGACACTAATTAATTATAACAACCCCCCTGTACCCGTGGTGGACCTTGATCCCATCGGACGAGTCGCTTCACACCTTTTTTCCCCTTTTCGCGATGCAACTCGTCCGACTCGTCCGACCGATGACGGGTCCGGGTCCGACGAAGCGAACCGCCGCGCCTCCCACACAACAGGATTGGAACTGCTTGCTGCTGGTCCAAGGCTGTCGCGCCGCCTTAAGTTGAAGAGATTGATGAGATGAACTCTGAAATTTCTGGAGGCCGCAAATGGCTTGGAACAACAGAAGATGCAATTCAGTGTAATTCATCTGTGAGCAATTTCTCCCTCCCCCAAATCTCTTGACATTCTCACGACCTCCGATTCGGCTAATGGCGGAGGCCAAACCTGAAGATGCTAACAGGATGACCTCACCGAACCTGCGCCAAATCGGATGACCGAATGGGACGTCTTGCCCGGTGGTCGATCCGTTCGATGCAAAGCCAAGGCCTTCACATGCCCCAAGCTATGTCGACCGATCTCGGCATGTCATGTGGATTGAAAAACCACACACTCCCCAAACACGTGTGCACTGTTGAATCATGCACTGCTTTTTCAACAGTTCACGTGTGCTCAGTCGGAAAGAACAGAAAACGTGTTGTAGCAGCGGCATCGGAGATCATTGGAGTGTGTCGAATCTCTGAGGATGTTTTCAGGTACAGGAAGCTCCAATTGAGGTCCCCTAAACCCTACTAGTAGGATCTAGTTTATAGTTGCATTTGTTGTCTTTGACTGCGAGGGTTACAAAGCGTATGTAATCCCAACATGTTCACATCAACGTCTTGATGTGGGTGCCACTGTTATGAACATCATGCGCATGATGTGCTATTGACACACACTAGATGTTAAAACTATTGCAACTATTGAGTCAGGAATTACACATAAAGTCGATATATCATGATATATCTCGCTGGTCTTGCAGTGCTCACTTTCCTCCCACGGTCACCGGACAAAACGACGACCGCGTCGCGCCACCGATGTCCGATGCCCACCGGTCCCGCCCTCGGCCGAGCGGCGATCTGAGACTCGGAGCTGCTCTTCCGCAAGGAATGCATGGCCCAGTGGTTCTCCTTGGTGGAGCCGAACGGAGCCCATGGAGCCCGTGGAGCAGAGGAGGAGCGAGTTTCGGGGCTGAATGCAAGAGAATGATGCTTTCAGAAGCTATGCTATTTGCCATCATGTGCCACTAGAATTCAAACTCAATTCAATGTCTCACCTAAAGCAAACACCTTGAATGGGGAGGCAACTGAAAAGCAAAACCTTCAAGCTGTTGGGCTGTTGCATTGATTTTTGCGATGGGTCAGTCGATCATATAATTCCATCTCAGGAATTGGCCTTCGGATAGGGGCTGCACATTGCCACGGTCACTAGTTCAATGTTATATAACTTCCGAGAAGAAAAAACACCAGAAGCCGTGCTTGACCCCGAACCTGTTTAAACAAACTCTTGTTCATGGATCGGCATCCTCAGGTGCCCATAGTTTATCGTGTTCCTTTCTTATCTCCTTGCCACTCAGCGGCGATGTACCAATTGTCCGAGCGATAGTTGGTCACCGGCCGCGCCCACGCGTGGCTCTTCGTCCGAAAGTCGCGTTGCTGCTCCTGGGCGCAGAAAAAACACCGTCAGTGCTCCAAACCGCCGCTGCCAAAGACATCGATCTGAATGTATTGAGCAGAAGCCGTGAGATGCAATGAATCACTTACAGCTGAAACATCTTAAGGATCAACATGTAAATGTACCTTCACCAACCAGACCCGAAGAAAATAAAGGGTTGAGTTGGGAACCCGAGGTATCGAAAGGAAACCCGAGGTTTTGCCTCGGCCACTTGCCACTGATCCCACCACATCTTGCAAAGTTGATGCACAATGATGATGCGGCCATTTTTCTTCACGCTCTTCATGCCCCATCCGGAGCAAAAGATCCTTGGCCTGATTCCGGAGGGGTGCCAAGTCGATGATTCAAACAATTTGGATGTAAAGCGTTTACGGTTCAGTGTTGTATTGATCTTGAGATTCCATGGTTCGTTTTCACCCCTCTCCACGGATCAAATATCGATGCCGCACGAAATGTCCATATGTGCTTAGAAGATACCTATCCATGATACGATGTAGGACCGGTCTTTGTGCGGTGACACGTCTCGCAAGCCGGGACGGACGACCGATAAAGTCCTCCGATGGCTGGCAGGATTTGCCAAGAGGGTTGAGTCCCCGAACATTGCGGTTTGATGCATCTAGGAGCTCAACCATGAAATGATGTAGGCAATGAATCTTTGGCTGCAAAACAAACAGGCACCTCCCAGTTCTTTGGGCAAGAGAGGCCATTTGAGCATATCTCCGAAGAAACTTGAAACCTAGCTCAGCCACTAGGTTACATTGCGCCGGTTCAAGCCACAAATCGGAGCGATAAAGAAATCGACTGCACGCCTGCACGGCCTCACATGCTTCAGCTGCCAAACCAAGTAATGGTTGATGCGGAAATGTCTCTGTATTGAAGCGGCTTTCAGCAAATTCCATGAGCACAGTTGTCAGGGCACCCTTGTGCCACTGGCCTCCGGGAAACGAGGATGTTGTTTCCCACCCGATCATTTCTTTTGATAGTTTTCCAACATGTGCTCTTCGAGAATTCTGGCAACAAAATGTTTTGAACTTCTCGGTCAATGCTTGGAACCTGCAATCGATCGAGCCGTGGGGCTCTTCCTCACTGAACAAAGCCAGCAGACTCCCCAGGTACGACTTCAAGACACCTAGGTGCATGGTGTGGAACCAGTCGAAACACCAAATTGCTGGAGCCTTCTGAGGCTCATACAACAAATGGTCCACAAATGGGTTCGGTTGCAAGAAAGGGTCCTCACTGAAAAGGGTTTGCAGCCAATCGGGCCTCCGAGTTCCCAATTGCTCGAACTGGAACCCCACCTGGGCTGCGCGGCAAAGGTGGCATATCCCGTTGGGACTGTTGCGTACAACAGCTCGGCGCTGTATGTTGTTAAAGCTCCTGGAAAAGGACCCGCACTTGTGCAAGAATGGCCAATCGCCAATTATCCCAATGACCACGCCCCAATAGCGCTGTCCCTCAGGGCTGGCAACACCGGTTTCCCACATGAAGTGGGCTTCCTCTGCAGCTGTTCGCATGAGAAGGTCCCAAGTGCTGCTGTTCTGATCAGCATAGTCCCCTTTTCTCAGACTTGCGATCAAGAATCTGTTTGTAAAGCTGTGACCTGCAAAGTTGCACTCCATCTTTGCCCACGTTCTCTTCTTTTTTTGCACCTTTGCAAAGCCGAACCCTATGATCGAGTGAAAACTCAAAACAAAATGCGCCGTATGACGACGGCCGCGCCCCTCGTCCCCGTGGAGCAGAAGAGGCACTGCGGTAGGCAGCGAAATCAAGCCCTGGTCCTCCTTGTCAAAGATTGCATGGTTTGGACACAATCGCCGAAAATTCTGCCAAAAATTTGACAAGATCGCTTTTTCACGAGCTTCATGTGACTGATGCAGTCCGTGCAAGATGTGAATGCAAGAGTTCTTGAGGAAGAATTCAAACCACGATCTGATCCGTAAAATTGGAATGTCAGGCTGGCTTTCTAAGTGAGATCTTTCTACATCAAGCGTCAGCGAAAACTTGTTCACAATAACCCGTTGACAATCTCTTTCCGGGTTCGACAGACTGCAGCGCGAAACTTCTAGTAAACCACCAGATTTCTGAGCAACCCGTTCGCCAACATCAGCCACAAAGTCACGGGCTGAAGCGATGGCTGAGGTGCATGAGGCCTCGGCGATCAAAACAACAGGAGAACAATGCCAACCAAATTTAGGGGAATCTGGTCTTGGAAAGACGATTGGAGCTAGTCGTGCAAGTCGGGTGAATGCAGGCGACCAAGTATGACAATTGACGTCACAAATCGAAGAACACCCCCGGGCAAACAAACATGTCACTTTTTTTCCGCTGGTGTGGCCACACTGTCAACTTCTGCACGTGTGCACTTCACACATGCATGCAACTATTAGATGTGTGAGAGGGTTGCTATATATAAATTTCATTTCACACAAGACCTCACCATTATTGGCTCTCTTGCTGGCACGGGAGGTGGATACTTCAAAGACCTGTACACAACGTATGTACTGCACCGGCTCTGATCCGAGGATTGCAATGGCGTGACATTGTCGCCGCCAGCTCTGATGTTCTTGCATCCAGGCCTACCTGGGAGTGGGGCAAGAGAGTGGGAAGGAACACAATCTGTTGAAAGAACCCCAATGTTTAAAATGTAAAGGTGGACTTCAAACATGATAGAGTTTCAACCGAGGTGCATCCGAAAAGATCTATCAAGGTAGCTTCAAGCATTGCAGGACCAAACGGTTCCGCGGATTCATACAAGATGACCATTTTGGACCATTTGTGAACACGGTCTTTCTTGTACCCATAGATTGAATTGCACCAACGCCAGCGCGGACAATGGGTATAGCCAATCTTGAAGATAAGCGGCTCGTGTTTTTGAAATAGAGTCAACATCACACGCTTTGCATGCTGCAAAGCTTTGCCAGCTGGAGCACCCACTGGAGGGACTTTGTATTCAAGAAAGTCAGCATCATCCCCAATCCCGTCAGAAGCCCCTGAAGCGGAACTGGTTGCTGATAAGTCTGAATCCGTCATCCCTGACGCGGTTGAGCAATCCAACATGCCCGAAGCAGTCATATCCTGGTCATGAGGTCCGCTGTCGCCGACATGTTCAGGCTTGCAAGCGCTATGTCTGCTTCTTGGCCACGGGTAGGGTCTCAAAGTGTCCTGGTGGCGTGGTTGTGGCTGAATTAATGGATGCCAAGATAGGTTGACAGCACATTCCAACAGAGGTTGAGAAACCACACAGAAGGATCCTTGTTGCACCTTTAGTTCTGGTGCCCCGCGTGCTATGTCAGCCCCTCTTGGTGTGTTTTATTTACAGGGTTGTATTGGCATAATCAGTTACAAGCGAAGTAGTGCACTCTCTGACATTGAAGGCCGAGTTTCGGATCGGTGGCAAGTAAGAAGATCCCACAGTTCATCATACGCAGCTTCATCGCTTGTAGATGTAGACATGTCCGAGACACTATTCCTACACCGATGGTTCATGGTGCAGTTTGAACACTGTAATGGCAAGCAGGCCCAGGTAATTATTTGCTTGTCGCCGGACTGATCGACAGAGCCTGCAATCAGGTTTGGGTTCCCGACGCCATCTCCAATCCTTTGGGCAAATCCACGGATAACGTTGCCTGGCTTGGGACCTGGCCGGAGCAGTCATAGCAGCCCAAAAACAACTTGCACCCGAGTGAGGGTGGATGGGTTGAGAGATGAGAGGTCACTGAAGGCACTGTTACAAGGACTTGTTGCACACATTTCTGAAGCTGGACTGCTTCGCGCATTGCATCAAGCACCCAACCACTTTTTCTCCCGTGGATTCCCGCAAACTTGAATCTCGAGATCTATGATCATGATCTCAATGAACTGATTGCAGAAACAACTGCAATCTTTACCCAGGCCAAAGGCATTTTGCGTGTTTAAGTGCCACGCCAATTACGAGACAGCACATTATTTTCTTTATGTTCTTCATGTCGACATGCACGTATATAACTGAATAACATAATGTTGGTGTAGACATCAAAATGCAACCAAGACGTTATCAGATATCAAACACCTCATGGCAACACGCTGCCTGAAGCAAATGGAATTAGCTGAAAGCATTGCGATCTATTGCGCAACCTAGGAGCCCTTTGCCTTTTTCTTTTGTTTGGTTTCCCCGTCAGCCTTTCGTTTCTTCTCCTTGGAAGTCTTTGGTTCCCCTTCTTCCTTGCCCTGCTGTTTGTCCTTTTTGTCCTTCTTCTCCTTCTTTTCCTTGCCCTCACTCTTCACGGCTTTCTCGAAGAACTTCTTTTGGCTCCTGCCGCAGGCTGGGCTGCATGAATAATGAACTAGGACCCTGTTGGGAGAAACGGTTGGCATGTTTTGGACATCTTGATATGTATCTTGATATCGATTTGGGGGACTGAAGACTCGCGCAAACGATAAGGCTGATCGCTCCTTGTCTTGATCTCTGCGGCGGATGCTTTGGAGCACCTTGGACGGCCACTGTGATGAATTGACGCTTTGGGGGTTGTGAGTACAGTGCACAGTAAATAGTAGTGAGCGATTTCGGGGTGAGATGTTATTCTGTCATGTTCGTGTCGAACTTGGACCTTCATTCTTGGGCTCCCAGCGCTAGGGTTGCGGACTTCATTGCTTTTTCTGCGTTTAGGTAAAACCTGAAGCTCTTGACAGACGAAAGCAGCTTAGAGAGCGTGCGTGCACGGACTAGATCCGAAGATCACCGATCCCTCGACACGGATTAGAACAAGTAGCTCCTCATTCAAGAAGCCATTGGCCTCACCTTTGACCCATACCTCCTGGCATGAGTCGAACTGCTGATCCAAGTTCACAACCTCCTTCCTCAGCTGATCGACCGACCTAGGCAGACTCGGTGCTGAAGGACTTGGGATTTCTTTTGGTGGGACTGATGCTTGAGCTGGGGTTGATGCTTGACAGCAATGCTGAGGAAAATACTTTCGGGAATCAGCGTCGTCGTATTTGGTGTTCAGTT